CAACTGATGCAGTGCTAGACATATCCCTGTGCTGAAAGATGTGCTGGTCATTCACAGTGCAGCTCTGTCGAGGTCAAGGCATTATTCAGACACATCATGTCTTGGTGAGAATCCCCACTGCATTGTCCTGATGCTTTTTTAAGCACCAGCCTCTTGTTAGCGACAGCCTAGCCTTTAGGTGATCCATGAGCTCAGGTTTGACCGTGCAGTGACCTGATGACTGAAGTCTTCAAATGCAGCCTCTTGGACAGGCTCACGTATATCTATTTCTGAAGATGAGTGCTCCCTGCTCGACAGTGAAGCAAGGCTCTCGGTTAGACTCTTACCTGAGAACCTGATTGGAAAGTCATCCGCCAGGTCATAAAACTGAATGCGCCACAGAAAAATAGCTCAACTGCTGATGTGCCATTCACTGGGGGAATAACGCAGTGAATTGACAGTGAATTGAGGTAGAATCGGCATTAAACAATAGAAAGAAAATATCAGAGCAGTACGTGCTATGATTCAAATTCCGACATCTTAGGTGATTCCAGAAACTGAAAGTCTGAGGTTTACTTCTAACTTATCTTGACATGTTATTGGAGGTAATCAAATGTTTAATACTACTACTGTACCTCCCCTCCGGGCAAAGATTTCTGTCATAAATTTGATAAGCATCTCATTTCTGCTAAGCAGCTTCATGAGACTGGGCCCTATGCCCCATTCCTCTCAAGATATGAGGTTGTGTTCATTCCGATGAAAAAAATGATGCCGTGAGCCTTTGTGAAACAATCCAACTTAAGCAGGTATTATCAATGGGATGAAAATATGGAAATACTTTTTCCTCGTGCCTCACACTGCCACAACGGTTGTCTTTCTTTTTCGTCCATTTTCTCAGTTACAACTTACAATTTGCCTATCGTTCCACACCTAAGAATTGTTGTGAAGGCCCCCAAGACAGATAAAGATCTGACGACAGGGCACGTGTCTTACCAAGTGACGTCTCTGTAGCAGATATCTTCTTGTATAGCACTCCTGCCTCATCTCCGGGTGGATCCCTTGAGGAGGTTGATGATGATGGTGCTTTACTGGCTGCCGGACTCACAGCTGGTGCAGAGGATCCACCTGACGGTGCAGCCTGCCATGGAAGAGATGTACTTTCTTTTAGCCTCACTAAGGTGTTTGTTTGCACAGCCATGAAAATTGGGTCCTAGACTAAAGGTCATGGCTCTCTAAGTGAAATTATGCACTTAGTATCGCCACTCTAACTTTGAAGAACTGGCTTAGAAATGTTGGTTTAGGCTTGTAAGCACAGAATTCTGAGACACTCAGCAACATAACCTAAAATTCATTGCTATACGGTGAATCACCTTTGCATGTAAAGCTAGCAAGAAATTTTCTGCTAAAGCACACAGATACAACACTTCTAGTTCAAAGCTCCATGTGAGAATGGCATTAGGCCCTTCTAACATTCATCCAACTTCGTGGCATTTAAGAAAATTTGGGTTCTCTGGGACTTACCTTTTTAACTTGATTCAGCTGTGACCTGTCCACGGGAAAATTACGGACCACGTAACTGACGAACGTCTGGCCTCTCTGCTGGAGCAACCAATCACAGACCGGGAACCACTTGGCGTGCTCGGTCCACGGCTCATCGGTCGATTCCCAGTGTTTGAGTCCCCCGCCGCAGTAGAAACACTTGGTGCTGTCCCCTTCTCCTACCACAAAGGGCAAACAAAGTTACAGTGCATGTACAGTGGGACTGAAAGGTGACAGGTCAGTGGAGGAACTTACATGTACAACACCAAGTGATCCCTGGACATTGCCTCATTTTACAATCCCAATGTACCATAACCACAACTACTATTGTTATTGATATTGCTCTTATCAGTACTGTAAAACTATTACTAAACATAGACCTGCTATAAACTTATTCCTTTTCATAAACTCCATGTTATTTTGTAAACGTACCACGATCAATATTACTAACTCCATGTAGCATTAGTATTCAGACTAGTACTTGTAAGAATACAGTCAAACCTCGTTAATAAGAGGTCCTTTGGACTTTGCAAATTACCTGTTATAACAGGAACCTTGTATTATTAGGAATGAAAGCAATGAACAAGAAAGGATTGGGACCTGACAATTTCCTTGTCTTAAGCAGAATCTTGTAGTAACAGTGCTCTTATTAATGAGGTTCAACTCTATAGCACTAACAGCACTACCTACCAATACTTGTGCAGACCGAGTGCTATTTGCTACTCTACTACAACTGCTATTAGTACTGTTACTACTGGTACTAGAATTCCAAAGCTTTGCATTCATTCATTTATTTATTTCTGATGACCAACAGCGGTTACCCGCCACTTACAGGCATTTATACGAGTATAACACTAACAGTACTACATGTGCTGACCCAGTACTATTTGCTGCTCTACAGTATTGCAACAGCTGCTACAAGTACTATT